CATCAATCTAACCAAACAACAGAGTAAAAAAAAAAAAAAAAAGACAGACAAAAAGAAAAGAAATATAACCTAGCACCCCAAAAATTCACAAATCAGAGCATAATGAAGATAGAACAAACATGGTGTTTGTTCCGGTAAGTAAAGAAAACTGTTCATTTGTACTCTAGTAAGAAAGAATGTTTATAGCTGTATGAACCAATGTGCTATAGCAAAGATAAATCAGTGTCATCCATGTTGTGAAAGAAAGCGTAGTAAAAACTTAGTCCTAATCAAGTCTGATACATGGAGCCCCAGTCAAATAATTGTATAGCAATCTCCCATATTTATTTTGGGACACAGCTCCCAATTAAACAGCATACCATAATATGTATTATTCCCCCCTAGCATACACATTCAAAGTCCATCAGTCCTAATATTAGGAAAAAAAATATACCAAGATACAATGCAAAATTAACCCCTCTCATATGGTACATACATCCAAAAGTATGTGGTGAAAATAAATGAAGGTACTTACTCAGCATTAAATCCATTCACATGTAAGATCCTCATCTGTTTGACTATTGTGCTTTTACCGGATTCACCAGCACCTAGAAAATGAAAGTAAATCAGTTTCAGATGGAAACATGAGTGATGCAGCAGCACAGCATACTTTTCTCTTCAGGGGCAAACCTAAAAAAAAAAAAAATGAATTACTCAGCACAAGAGCAAAAAAGTGAAGGAAAAAGAAGTAATTGTCACTGGAAGCTGCAGCTGTAGCTAAAAATAAATGCCCAGCTCAAGTCATGTGTCAGATCCAAATCTTGGATCATTTCACTGTCCATTTTTCCAGTTCAACGTCAAAAGTAGATTGAGGGGCCTGGAGGAACAGAGAAGTATAACTTCAAAATGCTGTGGAGAAGATGAAAACGAAAGGTCTGAATCTAGTTATTTTGTCACCACATACTAGTGAAGAGAAAGACCAAAATGGAGTCCCCGTTAGATTACAGTGCTTTTCAATTAAAACCTCAAAATCTTTTCCATTAAAGTTTTTTTTTTTTTCACACAGTAAAAAAACCCCTTTAATTTACACAAGATATGGAAATTGTTACCTGAAAATGGATAGCAGCCCCTTGTTCCTCCACTCAAAGAGCTACATAAAATCCCCCTCCTCCAACCTTAGTCTGCATCCTGTAAGCAAACTCCCCATCCTCTCCACATGCTCCAAACCACTCACAGCCCAATGGGTTGCAGAGAAGGCCCTCTCCAGACTGCATTGTCTGAATGGTATCCCCCCCACCCAGCCTCTTCCTCTGTCTCCACACTCGCTCTAAACTGCAGAGAAAGCTCCTTCACTTTTAGTGAGCTTCTTACAAGCAGCCCCATTCTATTTCTGCCCCACGGCTTACACCCCTACCAAAAAACACCTTCTAGTCTGCACATCGCACCCACTCTCTCTGCATATGAAAAGGATTCAGCAACAAAATTCAATTGAACCATCCCCACTCACAGATCAGTGGCTTTCTATGCAAAGCAGACAGACATTTTTTGCAGGAGTAAACCCTGACCTGGCAAAATATGCACGCAGATGCTCTTTCGCATCTTTCGGCTGCTTGTTTTCCCATGCTGTTAGCCTGGGTCTAACCAAGAGAAAGATTATACACAACTCGACAGGGTGGGTTCACAGAGGCACAGTTTGTTTTTAAGATGCCAGGCCTTCCCCAGCACATACTAACAGCAAGCACAAGCCTCCATTTTGAGCCTCACATTCAAAACTGTATTTTACAGTTTTATTTCAAAGTTCATTTTCTATCTATCACACTAACCTCTGCTCGCTTCTTTCCCTTCCCCCTTCTAGATGGATTCCCCTCCCCTGCTTCAAGACCCTCACAAACCAGTCCTCTTTCCAGACAAGCCACTCTAGGCATTTTGCTGCCCTAATCCCAAGCCTCACTCCTCTTTTTGTCCCCCTTTTCAATGACTCATGTATACAAGCAGGCTAAGAATAGCTTCTGCCCATCATTTTGCAGGTAGGTGAACATTAAACCTTACTGAGCCATTACAATAAACACAGATACAAACTACAGCATGCAATTAGGACATGCACCAAAACCAATCAAAAGGACAAATGTTTCCAGGTAAGAGATAGACTGGGTTTTCACAGCTGGAAATATCCTAGACATTGCAGTACATGTTGTATGTCCTAGGATCCTTCAGCAGATTGATTAATAAACACATTTCCCCTGTAACTTTACATTAGACAGATTGCAACATTTCATCTCAATTTCTGATCAATTTCTTTTTCTTTGCATTCTTTCCTTGAAAAAATATCATAGAAGTATGTGTGTCACTGACATGACAGAGTCTGAACTTTTAGTCATATAAAACATCTAGGGACTTATATAAAGCATCATACATTGGTCTGAGTAAGCCCATTTCCACAATTTGTTGACCACTGTGGGACAATAGGGGTACATTAGGGCCCTGTTCTTGCAAACACTTTTCACATGTGCTTAAAATTTACTACCATGAGCAGACCCATGGAGCACACACCTCTTCTCAGCGTTACAGATCCATCCAGCAAAAGGTACTGAACTGCACAGTTTTATTCTGAATGCATTTACAACACACTCTAATATTATTTTGTGCTTGCAGTGCTCCTCATTTGCCAACTGCAAGTGCTTTAAAAAGAAGGGTAACATCACAGACAGCCTTTTTTACGATTAATGTACGTAAGTTATGAGTTTCACATAATACAACAGCTACCATTTCAAATCACATCTAGGTTGTTCACAGGAAAAATAAATGTGAAGAGACCTTTTGAGCATCATAAACCGCCTGCAAATTTTCATTTTTATAAGTATCTGAACCATTTTCAGCTACCAAAGCTAAAAGAAGGCATATCAAAACCAACAGCCTTCTATTTTTGAGATCCTGTTACTTATTTAAGCCACCAAACCAATTTTTGAGATTTCCCTTTATGTACAGCATTCAGCCTGAGATATGGGAGGCTGGTTTCCCAGAAACTGAAAGCCAAGCTATACTGAAAAGAGGGGTTTTCTACTGAGAACACTGGCAAACCCTTCAGGGCTGCAGATGCTGCTGTAATTCTCCTAGTAATTTCTCCATTTATGTCAAGCCTCTTCCCTTCTTCAAATTAGCACTTTAAACATTTCACTAACAGTAACTTATTAAGTCTGCACCCCTGAAAAATTAATTTAAGATGTCACCAGAACCAATTCACAGTTTTACTGAGGCCTAACCTATCCTCCATACTAAAAATCCCTCAATACATTCCCAAGCAATACACTCTATAGGAGTAGAAATTGCCAGTATCTGTTATGCCACATCTTAAAACCTATTTTACCACAATAGGACTGCCTGGGAAACATTTTCTTATTTGTTCTTTGTTTTTAACACTGGGCCCTTTCAACACCTGTTCAACCTGCATTTCTAAATATATCTGCCGAAAACCAAAGCACATGCAAACAACTGAAATCAGCTGTTAAAATAATCTATCAAGACATACACCCTTCCCCAACACACTCAACCTTCATCTTATGCAGCATGAAGAAATAACACGCCAAACGAGACAGAGGACAGCGTATGTGGCCATGACCCTGTTAGTAACAGCCCATTACCCACCGCAACCCTGACATTACACTACACAGCTTCCCCTCCGCATGCATGGCCCCCACCCCATAACAGCCCGTCTTGTTCCTCTTCAGGATTAACATCCCTGCCACAGTCGCCCAAAATACTTTCCTCCTTCCTCTTTTCCAGCCCAATATGCTCCCCACCCCTTCAGAGGCTATTTGCCACTACCTCTCTCTTCCCCACCCTGGGGTGTAAGATTCATAGATGTCTGGGTCAGAAGGGACCTTAGCAGATCACCCAGTCCGACCCCCTGCCCAGGGCAGGGAAAAGCACTGGGGTAAAGGAAGGAGCGCTGGGGGTCATTTGCAAGGAGAGTAAGGTGCATTTATTTCCTCTGGAAGGGGGAGTTCCTCCCAGCCCCTCTCCCCAACAGCCAGTTGTGGGGGGAGGCCAAGTTCTCCCTTGCGCCGCAGCGGGAAGAGCCGGAGTAGGCCCCGAGGACCTGCCAGCTCTTCTGGGAAGCCTTTTCCCTGCATCATCTCCTCCCCGCTGCCCTCCAGGCTCCCTCGCTCCCCCTGGCCGGGGGCTGCGGGTCATCCCACAAAGAGCCACCTCTCCCCGGTCCCGGGCCCCCCCTTACCCAAGAGCAGCAGCCGGTGCGTGGCCCGGTAGACCTGCTTGTCCTTCTGCAGCTGCTTCTCGATTTTCTTGTTGGCCTCGCGCTGCGCCTTCTC